ATTTGGTGTATTGAAAAAATCTATTAGGACATTTGAAAAAAGATAATTTCCATGCTTCAAACCTGATCTTTGTATTAGAGATCAATTATATGAGTTTTTTTCACAGTGCGATGCATTCTTCTAGGTATTTGTGTAAATAATAATATGTCCTGATTCTAGTAGTCAACAATAACATTCAAATATATTTTTCAAAGGTAGTATGTTAACGTTCTTTTTCTCTGTCTCTCTATCACGATCAACAAACAAAAAAACCATGAATATAAAATTCAACTGTTTACACAACAAAGAACTACATTCTATTATAATGCAAATTTTTTCAATGAAGTCCTATCAATTAAGATTCAGAGTATGAAAAAAAAATTGTATTTTTTTTTTTGTTTTTATTTGATACAGATATGAGTATGGGCGTCGGTATGATTAATTAAATATGCATAATGATAAAAGGAGCTGGAAGTAGGCGGTGAAAAAAACATCAGAATGTCACAGTCCATACGAGGCCTCTATCAAAAATCGATTTTACCTTCGTAAAGAAACAACAATAATCAGCTTCTTTTTTATAAGGTACATAGTTCACTTTACAAAAAACAATCAAACAGTGATCGTAAATAAAAATCTCGCATAATTTATATTTGCACAATGTATTATATATGAGCATATACTAATTATGTTTTTATATGCCAGAAAAAAAGTATGATAAACAATGTTTTCATTTGATTTTTCATTCTCACTTGTATCTTTAAATAGAATAAGAACAAATCTAAAATTATTATCTCGAACTTATTTAAGAAAGGTTCAATTAAAATAAATCAGTCTTGTATGTTAATAATTATTTTTTTTTATACAAACAATGATTTGATTGCTAAAGACAAGTTCCAACAACTTGGATTTTTCTTCAATAGTTGCAACTATAGTTAAGTAATTCTCGTTTATTTCTTTTAAACAATGAAAGTAATGACAATATCGACGTGCTGTTTATTGTAATCGTTGTTCATTCATCTTACCTTGTTGTTGACTTTGTAGTATTGATTATATTTTTGATCATTAATCAACTATAGATTATAAATACTACGACTACCAATACCGACAAAAGTCAGTTGATAATAATTTTTATGACTAATTTCATGTTGCATGTTTGTTTGTTTGTACTACCAATTGTATACTGATAGTAGTACTTATGACTTTTGATTCCAGCTATAAATGATTATAAAGAATGTATTATACTCAAAGATGAATTATTTATTAGGAAAAAGTCAAAGCAACCGAGAAGAAACAGTTTACAGGCGGTGAAGTTATATTAACACTATGCAAGCATAATAAATTCAACTCAGTTTTATCATTTTTAACGAACTTCAAAACTATTCATTCATTTCGATACAATACACCATGATATATCACTTTCAAAAAAAAACTGGAGATTTTTTTCTCGGTAATTATCACATGGGTTAATATTTGTCTGTTGCGTTCAAGCATAATAGTAATAATTTAGGTCACAAATGAGTTATAAAAATAATATTTTAATTATTTTTTATTTATTTTCTTTATTTCTCGGGGGTATCTATATGAATAAATAGTACATCTACTAAAAGTAACATAATCTGATAAAAACTATTTTACGATAAACTTCTTATTTTCAGTATCGATTACATGAATTAATATCGGCGTCAAAATCAAAGATGAATGGATATGAGGTCAGTAACTAGACAGTGGCAACAGCTGATGATCTGTACTTTTTAACATTGATAAGAGAAGAACCCTGGATGTCTTTTTGTCTGAGGCTCTAGAAAAAAAAAGAAATTATTTTAAAACCTATCATCTTTGTAAAACATTCAAAACAATGCATGAAAACGATGTTGTGTTTCGATATGTTTTTAATTTTGACATACACTGTAGATTTATAGCTCAAGAAACAATTCAAGTGATTATCTTATTGTATCTCAAAATTGAAAAAACAAAAATTGTTTATCTATCCGATTAAATTATATAAAATTCTCTTCATTTTTTGGGCAAATTTTTCATGTTTTTGTATCAACATTTCCTTGAAACGAAACACCATTTTCATGCATATTTCACGCAGATTAATAGTTCTAAAATAACTGCTCTCATTGTCAAGTTATTGAGATTACACGTACTTCTCTTTAAATCTTACGCAAATATAAGTACAAGTATGAGAAGTAAAAAAATTGGGTCACTGAAATGATCATCATTTTTGAGTAGATACATGATTCGAGTTCGAATATAAATAAAAATATTCATAAGAGAAAGAAGAATGATTGCTAGCAAACACAGAAAAAAATATTGCATTTAGATATTATAATCTGAGATAGGATTGTACTTTATAGTGTTTCTGTGATATCATGAGCTGTTGTCAAGTCTGTATGTGCATTTTCATTTTGACACTCAAGATAGAAATGATATCATAACTAAAACCTAAGCATCAATCATCCTGTTATTTTTTTCCTGTACATTCAATGCTACACCAATTACAGAATATACATTCGGTTACACAGCTATTTTCCTTTAGGTATGCAAGAACATATCATAATAAATATTACAATCACTATATACATAGAGACGTACATAGTCCAGATCACAATTTCGATTTATTGAATAAATAAAAATGATGAAACATCAATTTCTACATTACCATCATTATCTGTATTAAAATTACAATTTAATAAAACTTATAAGTTGCATTTACATACTGATTTGTTTTTTTTATTTATTTTCGAAATCGAATTAGACAACTCATGTAGTTTTTAGTAGTTACAAAACTATCCAATAAGAAACTTTTTGCTATCACTGTCAGTTAGTCTTTTATCTAAGATTTAAAAAGATTTCACTTCGACTTTTTTTTTCTCTAAACGAAATACATGTGAATTAACTTGAACTGATAAAACTGTATTCAATCATTATTCTAATTACCGACACGTAATAGAATTATATTTATCTCGCTATTGTCAATTAAATATTTGCTTTTCGTACAGATCGTATTTATGTTGCATTTGATGATATTTTCTAGAAAGTATTTTATTACTTAGTATTGAATTAGTTGAGATAGTCCTGAAACTCGAAAAATTCCGTTTGTTTCACAAGATTATAAGAATAAAAATTGCGAGATAAATTTGAACAATAAGTGATTATCTTATTGATGATGCTTATACGTATACTGTTCGATTAAATCTTTATTATTATTATCATCATTGAACTACAGAAAATTCTCATTATCGTATTGTACGAAGGAAAGTTCTCCAATTGATTAATCAATTTTGAACCGAATTCTCGTTAAGGTTCGTTTTTTATGTAGTTTCAAGTCGAAATTTGAAAAATTAATTTTTCTTATATGTTTGATGAGAAATACAACATTGTCTTAAAAAATACCGTAACAACGCAATATGTTGGCAACAATAAGAGATGGATTCGAATTATTTTCAGGATGTTCAGAGTCAATTACAGTCTACATTATAATACATATACTTCCGGTTGAAAAGTAATTAATCATCTAGAAGATTTCCTGCGTTAGTCAAAAATTTTCAACGAATATTAATGATACAAATATCTATTTCTTATTGATTATATAAACAAGAAACTATTATAACAAGTTGATAAATTGTCATAAATCATAAAATCGAAGAAATTCAATATATCATACTTTTATTAATATGTATTTATTATCATTATTTCATGTGGATATGTTAGTATGTGTAACAACAATATATTTGATAATTGGAAAAAAAATTGGAAAATCTTATTATTTATTTTATTATCATTACTACGAATAATTTCATTAGAATTCTTCTCATATGATTGAACCACGATAGTAATGTAGTAATGTCACCATTTATATAAAATCTAATAAGACTATTGAATAAGTGAATATAAGCATCCGATTAGGAAATGGCAAGGCTTATTAATAATTCAATCGATTTCTTTTTTTGTTTTACAGTTCAATATTGACTAGAATAGAAACAGTAGTATGATAAAATTATTACATTTTTTGTTTTCTAATGAAATAAATAATACAAAAATAAAAGTTTTATCAACAATATTTTTCTTCTACTAGTAGTGATAAGTTATGTATGTTCTTTATTTTTTTTTCTTCTTGAATATATGTCTATTGCTCTATTATTTATTCTTGTAAGAAATACATGCTGCAGTCAAGTATATGACGCTAAGCGTCAGCTGGTCACATAACATCGAGGTATTTACTTGCCAACATATTGAAAAAAGACATCAAATTTTTTTTTTGTAAGTGCATCAATGCTATTAAACAGCGACGACTCATTTCTATGTAGCAATTGTATTGAGAATCAAATTCACAATGAATAGGAAGAGCGATGACATTCTATTTTAGATAGATGAATGTTAAATGAGAAAAAGAAACATTCGAATGTGAAAGAAGAAAAAAAAGCAGGAAAAAATGATAAATGACTTTATTTTAGACATTGTATGTGCACAGCACATTAATTCCATTTACACATTATATATGTAATATATATATATGTAGTTGTCTTTTCTTGTTATGCTCGAAAAAATTTGTTTGATTGAGAACCATTCTTTACGATGATTGAATATTTTTTTTTGTTAGAAGCTTCATTTACCAAATACAAGATTTTAGATGTCAAAAAACGCTAACCAACAACAACGTCAACGTACAAAAGAAAATTTTTTACGACAATTTCGTGATGAACAAAGTAAAGAATTAAAACAGTTAACTGCAGCACAATTTATGGAAATATGGAGTCATTATGATACTGATGGTACGAATAAATTTTTTATTACAATTAA